TATTGTACAGTATGTTAAATACTTAAAAGCACCAGAAGATAAATCTTTTCTCTAGATTGTGGCCTGTGAGTGATTTGCTATGATCCCAAGGACCCAGGACTCAAAGTTCAACTAAACAGCAGATGTCTGACATATAAATTCTCTGTAATGGCTTACTTTTTCCAGCCTGCACATTATACATCCATTCCATTCGAGACTGAAGTACCTACTTATCCCTTCTATGTCAGGTTTCCCCACTGGTTATCATTATTGGGGAAATGGCAATATTGTACTATGTTGTATTATCTGTCTACCTGCTTGTTACTGCCTCCTGGAAGCTCGATTATTTGTATACATGTACATGTGTGTGCGCACAGTGCTTTTATCATTGTTTGTAGTTCATTATGTGTATATTTTGTGACCAAATGAGTGGATGGATGAAGGAATAGATTGAGTTCAGTAAAGTCTATCAAGAGAAGTTGTAGGTAACAACAATGTAGGTATATAAGGGAAGTCTAGTGTCTAGACCACCATGGAGGTAGAGAAAGTGCCTTTTAAAAGGTTTAACACTGATTCCAGGGAGGGTGCAAGCCGTTTTTTGTTTTTGTTTTTTTTCTGATTTATGTTCACTGCTCTTATCAGTAGATAGGCCCAAATCGTTCAGAAAAGCTTTGATATATGCTCCTAGATATTACTTACATGTTAAAATTCTTGTGAATTCAGCCTAAGCACAGAGGGGAATGGTACCTGTTTCCGCTGGATCTCACCACCTCAGTAAGTGAGGTGTAAAGGTGTAAATATGGGCAGCACTCTTTTGTATAAATGTTCACTCTCCTCTCGTTAAGCTCTTTGTTAAGCAGTGTTAAGGATTTTGATCTTGATGCTTCCCTACCAGCCTTAAATTTCAGTTTCTGACTTTTCCTGGAATGGCAATCTTATATGGCAGTTTATATTGTGGCCTCATTTTTGTAGATGCTAAGCAGAATGTGCAGAATGTCACTTGGAAATATAAAAAATACTTGGGAAGGCCATGCAGTCTTTGGAAGAAGCTATTGACTTGAACAGTGTAATTCAAGAGTCTCCAGTCACATTTCTTTGGGTTCAACCAGGTTTTGTGGGATTTGGAAACTTCTTCCTGAATCACAAATCAAAACAAGTGATAATGGATGCCATTTCTTACATTTCATTTCAAATAGCCTTCTCCATAATAATGTATAAGTCTCAGGGCACATGTGCTAGTGTACTAAGTAAGTACTTAGTTCTATGCTAAACACTTCATCTGCATCAATTTGTTATATGATGTAGGGATTATTATCATTCCTGTTGTTTGGATGAGTTGAGTCTTAAGAGAGTTTACATAATTTGCCCAAGGCAACAATAAAAACATCAAGAGTCAGCCTTAGTTCCATTTGATACCAAGGGCTACAGTTTAATCAGCACACTCTACTGCTTCTGATTTATTCTTCAAAAGGAGTTCTCTGGATTAAGGAGTCTATAAATCTTTAATATTAGTCACAGAACTATATTACAGGTTAAGAATAATATATTTTTAAAATATTCTTTGCCATGAGTGCATTGCCTAGTGGAAGGGGCCTCTCAGTTGAGTTTACCTGTAGCTACCTATTAAGTTATCCCTATTTTATCTAAATGTCTTCACTTTTCATTTCCTTTGTGTATGTAGCTGTTTTCCTTCCTTTGCTGGTTTTCTGGTCCAGCAAACTTCTTGCTTTCTATTTCTTCAGTATTTCCCTACTCCCTCCAATAGTTCAGTACCTAGTCATTCATCAAGTGTCTGTTAATTAAATGATTCCTTTTATACTAGAATATTCCCAAGAAGGAAATTGTTTCATTTTACTTATTCATATTTCTGTGTCTGATGATTATTTCTTATTAAATTTATTGGGTAACATTGGTTAATAACCTTATATAGTTTTCAGGTATATAATTATAATTTGACATCTGTGTACCATATTGTGTGCCCACCACCCGAAGTTTAGTTTCCTTACATTACCATGTATTTGACCTCCTTTACCCACTTGATGCTCCTCCCACCCTCTTTTCCCACTGGTAACCACCATTCTGTATCTGAGTTTGTTTTTATTTAGTTTTTTAAATTCTTTTCACATTTGAAAAAGATCAATCTTAAACTTAAAGAAATCTGAGAACCTTAATGCCTAGACTAAACTGGTATTCCACAGCCTGTAAGTGTGTTAGCTGCTGTTCACCCTTGGGTTACTTCATCATCAATAGTAACATAGAGCAGTGGTCTTCAGATTAATGTGGGTGTAGCCAAACTTCATGCTACAACTTTAAATGCATTCTGTGACCCTTAGTGACCTCTAGAGTCCCCATGTGACTACTCTACTATATCAGTTAGTGATGGATGTGATATACTCTGTGAAGCTCTGTTAATATAGTGAATGTGTTCAGGGCATAGCTGATGTATTGGTTGATTAATGGTGATTTTAAATGTAGTGCCAGAATTAAGTGAAGATTCAACCACAGTTTTCTCCTTGCCTTTATCCTTCCAATTCTGAGACTGGCCAAGGAAGACATAGGCATGGAGAGTGAGAGTGCATACATGGATATGTGATATGAGAAGTATAACCTGATTGATTTAAAATGAATTTAAAAACAAATATAAAGGATAATAATAGATAGTATTTATGCCCCCTTATCGTGCGTAAGACACTGTTAAGAATTCTTACAACTCTTTGTTATAGATGCTCTTATTATACTCATTTTAAAGGTGAGACTAAAGCATAAAGAATTTAATTAATGCACCTCAGTTCATGTAACTCCTAGATGCTTGGATTCAGATTTGCTTTCATGCCATTTGACAACAAGGTCTGTTCATTACATCATATACTATAGCTATTTTTCTTAATTTCTTATGCTTTCTTTTATTAATGCAAAATAGTTCATTATTATAGACATTCATAAATCCAGTGTATTCTCTTTTAGTTTTTGTTATAGAACTTCAAAATGTCACTGATTGTTTATCATAACACTTAAATTTTAGACTTATTTGTTTTCTATAATTTCTTTTGAATATAGTAAAATAATTTATTATCAGTGGGAAAAAATCCTCATTCATAGATACATAGATGCTTAAATTTCAAATAGCAATGCTTTTTAAAAGTATTTAAAAATCTTCATGTTTTTCAGTGTGTTGCCATTTTGGAAAAAAAAGTAACTTGGCTGAATAAAAGCCCCTTAATTTGACTCCAAATTGGTTATCCAAATGTAATTCAAATAGCATTTGCTTGTACCCTACTTAAGGAAGTATCTTGCTGTGTTCATCGTTAATGGCTCTTATATTCCCAGTAAAGAAAATACAGGTGATGTTGGCTTGATATGCAATGGATTTTGTTACTAGGGTGTGGCTACAAACAAAACTATTCCAAAGGAATGAATAGCTCCATCTGCCACAGTGCAGATTTACAGACTGGGAAGTACTGTGTGTCATCTTAAGCACTAGATAGGTTTGGCTTTCACTAATTTTAAAAGAAAAAAAAAACAATTTATGGTATTCAGATTGACTTGTTCTTTGTTGTGCTTAGAATAAAGAAAATAATCCAGAATATAAGAAAAATGGGCAACTGAACAGAACCCCTATGTATACTTACTCTGTTTTGGAAAAGTTTATATAAAGAGTTTTAACAACATTGACCCTAAGCTGTGTTCTCTTTATTTCTTGTAATTCAGTAGATGTTCAAGGGCTGTGATAAAAATAATCCTACACTATGGTTTCTTTACAATAATGAGCTCAGCAAATATCCATTAACACACACATGTCTGAAGGCACCAGACCAAATATGGTTAGTCAGTGAGCAGGCTGGATCAGAACCACCTGAGATGGTTACAGACAAAAATATTCCTTGATTTCTCCCCCATAGATGCTGATAGAGTGGGTCTGAAGTCATGCCATAGCATTTCTGTATTCTCATAGACATCCATGGTTAGGGATAAGTTTAGAAGAGTGGTTTTAACTGAGGGCAATGTATGGCAATGCCTGGAGTAATTTTTGATTTTCTCAACTGGACGGGTGTTTGTGCTACCAGCAACTAATGGGTAGAGGCCAGAGATGCTGTTATATATCCTACAATGCACAAGACAAACTCGTGTACCCACAAAAAAAATTATCCAATCTAAAATGTCAGTAGGCCCAGATTGAGAAATGCTGTTCAGAGAACGTAAAGATATATTCACAAAGATTCCATAAGTAATCCGGTGAATAAAAGAGACACAAAATATCATTCATTCATAATGGAATAAAATAAGTCATTGGTCCAAAGAATAAAATAAGCAAAATTTTAAAAATGTTTTACTTCTAGATTATTAGTTATTTTACAGTATGGTTAGAGACATTCTAGTTGAAAAAGTATATGAGAGAAATCTTGAAGAGTTATCTGCAGTTGGCAGGATATTTTTAATGAGAGTTATCTGGATAGATTGTGCCTGTACTTGAAAAAAATTAAGGATTTTTTACTGATCCTGAAATTTTAATAAGGAGAAGAAAAATTTAGTTACAGACAGCAGGAATTCTTCTTTAAATAATAACTATGAAGTGAAAATAGGATCATTTCTATAAGTGCCATTTAAACAAGCAAACCAACAATCAAATCTAGGAAGAGTTCAGATGATTTTTTAATAGTTTTGTCCTTATGTTACTCACTGTTACATATTCTTTTTTCTAGTTTTATATTGTCCCTAGAGATCAGATACTCACAAGCAGGACATATGATAGATTTCTGAAAGTTATTTTGACTGCTATCATTGTAGGGTTTGGATTAATAATGTAACCAATTAAATCCTCAAATATCTCCACCAGCAACAATAAACATTTAATTTCCAGAGAGAAATATGGGTGGCTATCTTGAACACCTTTTATAATCACAGTGATAACTAAATTTTCAAGCATTGAGGAATTCTGATCTTTTGTCAAAGAACCAGCAGCAGACTAACTTAATCAAAATAATAACAAAATAGCCACATGTTTTTGTTTGTTCATTTTTTAGCTGTTTCATGTGTCTCTGATGATAACCAGTCATCAGAGATGACCGAATGCCTCAAGCAGACAAAGAGCATGCCTCCCCTCGTGCAAGAATGCACTGTCCCATGTCGAGATGACTGCACCTTCACTGCTTGGTCCAAGTTTACGCCCTGTTCCACAAATTGTGAAACAACCCGAAGTAGAAGGCGGCAGATCACAGGTAAGGTGTGCTTTTCATTCTTTAGCTTCAGACAAGGCGATGCACTCCTGAACTTTCCAAGGACCACATAAGCTGTAGAAGGAGAGGAGGTTATATCAGGTCTCCCCACACCCCTCTGTGCCTATGCTTCGCACATACTATGTGCTCAAATAATATATGTGAAATGAATGAAAGATGTGAAGCGTTCTGTAGCTATAAAGTTCTTCTCTGTACAGCTTTATAACCTTTGTAGTCCTAAACAGCAATACATTCACCAATTTCCCTAGAGTAGTTAATGGCTGAGTTTCTGGTATTTGTCATGCCGAGAACTCAGCAAGGGTGAAAGCAGTCACTGGTTTGTAAAGAACATCAAAGGTACATCTAACCTTTATTGATGTTGTTTGTTATTATTTTATGAGCAATTTGACATTTACAAATTTTAATAGTGAAAGGCAAAAATCAAGTTGCATAAATATTCTGCTTTTGTGGTATATTAATAATTATTGGTTCTGTTTACATCCATGAAATTTAATGGAAATTAAATCAATAACTAGTTTAAATGAGGTCCTGGAGCGATTTTTGCCTGTAATATACAAATAATTGATAGAGTAGTGTATTTTACTGCTTGTCTAGATTAATATGCCAGAACTTCTCTTAATTCTATGTATATTTGTATAAGCAGAAAACTTAATTCAGGAAATGGAGAAACAAAGGAAAACTGCCAAAATAATCATGGGGTAATACAACTGTATTGACATTGAAGAACTCAGCACAGATGACCACTTGTTCTTATCGGCAGTTTAAGTACTAATTCTCTTGTTTTCAAGACCTTTTTGTTTGAATGCACTGCTTGTAAGATTGTTTTAAATTTAACTCACTCTAATGGATTTACTTAATGGATGAGAGGCTTTAACAGGATTTCTGCATACAAATCAGAACCCCATTCATTCAAGTGTAGATGAAACTTATAATCACAAATAGAAATATCAAATAAAATATGTTGTACTTTGTGCTCTCCTACAGAAATCTGTACATATATAATTTTATGCAACATTGCTTATGTTTCGCAGATAAAACAAATTTCTATGGAGAAACAATATAATGGATTACAATGTGTGTGACAGGAATAATTTCAAGTTCAATGAGCAACTTAGCGAAACTTGGTTTGCATGTTCACACAATGTTTTAGAAGTCATTATCCAGTTATTTTCTATATATCTTTGAGAGGTGCAAGACTTTCTTTTAGAGGGGAAAAAAAAAGTTTTAATTGGTTGCTGGTTTTTCTTTGTCTTGAAGTTTGCTAAAGATATTTTTTACTTGCAAACTGAGGAAGGAAAATATTGAGAATTCTAGGGTATTTATTTATTTTATAACCAGCATAGCTTGTTAAAAATTGTCAATACTTTGATGAATTTTAATTTTATTTAAAATATACTTTTTGTGTAAATATTGAAGAACTGATGAACATTTTCCTGTAAACTCTATCCTAAGAATTTTTCACACCAAAAATTATTTTGAATTTTTTTTTTTCAAAATAATTATCTGCTTTGATTTTAGCTGGCTAATTAATCTTTTGTGCATCTTAATATCTAGGTGATATGTTAAAAAAAAGTAGTGAATTAAAATTTTCAACTTCTGATGATTTATTTTTGTGATACAGCACTGTGGTATAATGCTTGTAGTTTGTCTTCTCCGTGTAATTTGGCAGTAAACTTAAAAAGAAATCCTTAACATGGATGACAATAAAAAGCACAAACTTAGACCATAAAACAATGTCACTCTTTAACACTGACACACATGGCAAAGAATACACAAATACAAGCCATTCATTGAATAGTGGACCATCTAGGGTGTTTTTCTTTTTTCTATTTTTAAAAAGAGGCTTTAATTTAATATCTGAGTGTTCTGTGTATTGTACTTAAACTAGACCAATACAGGTTTTAGACAGAGTGGCAATTAAAGCAGTTGTTTCTTTAAAATGTTGGAATAATCCATCACATAGACAAACTGTCTGGGTTTTATATACATATAACTAGATAACTAATACATACATATTTAACATTTGTAGTTCTGTGTTTTTGTGGGATTAGTCACATGTTTCCCTCTGATTTAAGGAGGAAAGCTGTCTTTAGAATTGTAGTGTTTTTTTTTGTTTTTTAAATTAGTACTAGCTGGTTTGAATCCAAAGGTTAATGCTGATTTTGACTGGAAGATAATCAAAGAAAGGACCACTGATAATTTGTTTCTTATCATGAAAACCATTTCTGCATTAACTAACTTGCTCAAATCATTCGTCAAACAGTGATTGCATGTAATTAAGAGGGGTAACACAAATATAGAGACAGTGTATTTTTGTACGGAATATTTGTTCTGGTAATTTCTGGTTGCCTTGTAAATGAGCATTCTCTCTCTCTCTTTCTCTCTCTTTCTCTTTCCTCCTTCTTTCTCCCTTTAAAAAAAATCTTAAATTGTTCCATGAGCACTTTTTGTTTACCACTTATGTGTGCTAGGCTTCGGGAATACTACAAGAGAATTAGATAGACATGATCCTAACTTAAGGGTTTACAGTCTAATGGGAGATAGAGATTTTTATTACACGTAATTATAACATAGTGTAGTAACTGCTCAATAGCTGTTTATAAAGGTTCCCATATTAGTTTCTTATTGTTGCTGTAACAAATTACTACAAATTTGGTGCTTAGAACAACACAGATTTGTAATCTTACAGCTCTGTAGGAGTGAAGTCAGAGATGGATTTTACAGGGCTGAAAACAAGATGTTGGCTGGACTGAATTCCTTCGTGGAGGCTCTAGGGAAAATCTGTTTCCTTTCCTTTTCCAGTTTATATAGGCTGCTCACATTCCTTGGCTCATGATTCTCCCTTCCTCCATCTTGAAATCTAGTAACATTGTATCTCTGACCATTCTTCCATAGTCATATTTCCTCTGACTTTCTACTCAGTTAGGAAAGGTTCTCTGATTTTAAGACCCTGTGATTAAGTTAGACCCACCCAGATAATCCAGAATAATCTCCTACTTTCAAAGTCCATAATCTTAGTCACATCTACAAAGTTTTAATTTGCCATCTAAGGAAGCATGTTTCCAGTTTCCAGGTGTTAGGATGTGAACATCCTTGGAGAGCCATTATTCAGTCCACTGCAAACTGTTTAAGTACAGAAGAGTACCTCTTTCAGACATGAGATGAAGAGCGTGTTCAAGGATGGCATTTTGGAGGGAGCAATCTATTCATTTGTACCTGAAGGACCAGTAGGCATTAACTAGGCTATGAAGGGAGGGTAGAACTGGTGAGAATGTCTGGAGCATGCCATGCAAAGGCCAGAGCCAAATGAGTAATTTTTAGGAACTGAAAGATGCTCATATCAATTTAAGAAACATACAAATCTATAGAGAATTTTTATGAGTTTATTTGAGTCAAACAGAGGATAGGATATGCCTGGAAGCAAGATCTCAGACTGAGAAAAATGCTTCCAAGAAGTGAGTTTGCAGCTTCTTGTATGCATTTGGAATTAAGGAGGGAAATTAAGATTGCGTAAAGGTGAGAGAGAACAATATGGGGATCGGATTGCAGAATAGTTGAGGAGTTTATGTGTCCTCTAGAGGGTCATCACCTTTCTGAAGGAGAGGTCTAAAAAGAGGCATTTCAAAGAAGCATCAACCTATTGGGTTGTCGGAAAAGTCATGACTGCATTTTTGCAACAAAAAAACAGAAAAATACATCATGACTTTTCCCACAACCCAATAAATGCATATAAACAATGAACAGGGCTTGCTTAAGGCAAAGATAAGCCTTTTAATAAAGAAGTTATATGCCTGGGGTGTGACTACCGACCATAACCTATCCATTTAGGAATTTATGATCAGGTCACCTATGCAGTCACTTCCTTTTTTTTTTTTTTTTTTTATTTACTTTCCATGTAACATGTCATTTTGTCCACCCTCAGTATTACTAGCTTGTAGCATGTGTTGATGTAAGAAACACCCAAACCTGTAGAGAATTTTTATAATAATTTATTTCAGCCCAAACTGGCAATATAACAAGGAGAAAAATCTCAAATGCTCTGGAGAATAACAGTTTTTTTAATTTTTTGAATGCATTTGAAATTAAGGAGATAATTTAATAAAGATTACACCAGTGTGGGAGAAAGCAAGGCAGGGATTGAATTACAAGATTATGCGCTTCCTTAAGAGTGGTTATACCTTCCAGGAGGTATTACTTGTGGCATTTCAAAGGTGTATTAACCTAGGCAGGTGTACAAGGACAATAGACAGGGTTTGCTTAAAATCCTTTCACTAAAGAAGTTATAGGCCTGGGCCGTGACTGCCCACCATGACCTGCCCAATTAGGAATTTATGATTTATTATAGTACCCCCTTTTTGTCCACACATGCCAGGGGCAGAATGGTGCAACATACGTGATGAGACAGGTCAAAAGTTAACAGGAGGGAGCTTGTGAGTTAACAGGGATGAGCTTAAAAATTAACCTTAATTCCAGGGCTTTGTTTTATGACTTTGGAAAGAGTTAGGTACTTTTAAGCAGTAGGTAGACTCAGACACCACGGTTATATGTGTTGAGACAAGAGTGGAAATTGAAGAGATAGAGACAATAGTACTTTATGAATGGTTGGGAAGCACCAGAGACTTGGGCATGTTAAATGCTGATAGGAATGAGTTAGTCATCACCATTGATGTATCTTCAACCAGTAAATTCTTACAGGCATGACAGAGACTGGGCTTCTCAAACATATTCTCAGTAAGTGACCCTAATGGTAGAAGCAAGTGGATGCATCCTCCCAGGGTGACAGTGGTGTGGCTGAAACTCCTCCAACATCACTTCAGGTCCTGTAGAAATCCTTGTTTATTGTGACCATAAATATCAGGGAAGGCCATAGACCCAATTGTCAGGTGATAACTGTAGAATTGTTGTGTGGAAGGGAAACTATCTGACAATGAGAAAGTAATCCAGGCATCAGCTTGTATCAAGTACATATTTCTAAAATAGCCATAAAGAGTAGAAATAGACCAAATAAAGCTGCCTACTTTTTTTTTTTTTAATAACCAAGCAAGACTAGTTAATAACTTACCAAAGAGGAAACAAAATTAAAGTTACTAGATCTAGGAAAAATTTTAGGACTCTAGAAGATATGTGTTGGCAATGAAATTGAATCAAGTTACAGGCTAACTTAGGATCCCTTAAACATGATTATCAAGTTCATGTTTAACTTGAGCTGTGAAAAATGACTTTGTATTGTCATTATTCAGTTAGAATCACAGCTCAAAAGTCCATCAAAGTCATTCGGTAAGGTAAAGTCATATTCTACAATACTTAAGTTAAAAAGGTCTCTCAAAGTAGAAGCAATAGCTTTTTCTCAGATTAAATGATCCATTACAATTTAAACATTTATTTCAATCTATTGTTTTTGTCAGTATTTGTGAGTTGCCCGATTGTGAGAACCAATATAAGTTCTACTTTGTCTACCATTCCCCAAGTGGCAATCCACCTCACTCCATTGTATGGGAGGGTATTTTGCTCCTTGAATAAATAAACTCTGTTTTTTTTAAAAAAATCACTTTCAAAAGAGGAAAGAAGTTAATATTTACACTATTTTGTTGGTTTCCCTGGCAACCATCAATATCAGGGGAAAATGGTGATAAGGCAATCCTGGTTTATCAACAAATTGTAGGAGAAATAATAAATAAATTAAGAGTTTTCTCGCTGTTTAGCCCCTGTAGCAAACATTTTCTGAATATTTTGTGCCACTCTTTAACATGAAAACACTCTTTTTCTTTTCAAATTGACCTAAATTTCACAATTATCCTGGGAGTTGCTTCCATTGTTGTAGGACTTAATTCCATGCACCAAGGAATGAAAACAAAGACTTCATTTTTATTTAAGATTCACTATTCTAAGAGTTTTTAAGTATGATAATGTGACTTTTAATAAAACAGCAAATGTGAAATTAATATATCAATGTCTCTTGTTGGAACAGGGAAAAGCAGGAAGAAGGAGAAATGCCAGGATGCTGACCTGTACCCTTTAGTGGAAACGGAGCTATGTCCTTGCGATGTATTTATATCTCAACCTTATGGAAATTGGTCAGATTGCATTCTTCCTGAAGGCAGAAGGGAGCCTCAACGAGGATTGCGGGTACAAGGAGACAGCAAAGAATGTGGAGAAGGTGTGCGATTTCGAGCAATAGCCTGTTCTGATCAAAATGGAAGACCTGTTGAGCCCTCCCGTTGCAGCAGCTCTGGTAAGGAGATGGGTGAGGAGTAACAGATGAGAACTTTGACATATAGCCCAGGAGGTTTGGCCAAGGTCTAGAATTAGTAGCTTTGTTATTTAATAATTGTTGTCCTTTGTCAGTAACACACTGCCTCTCATAAAATATAGACATATGAATGCACCTATCTGTGTCTCACTGATTATCTGGAATGTGAGTGTTTTGGATCCTTGACTCACCTCATTCTGTATTCACCTTTGAGCACCTGTTTGCTGGCGGTGAGTGCAGTTGCTCTACTTTACTGAGAAAGCCAAGGCCCAATACATTTTGTGGTGTTTATTGGTGCTCTGGTCATATATATAGAAGGCATCAGGCCTTGAAGGTCTTCTAAGGGAGGTGACAAAATATCAAGGAAAAAGTTAATATTAAGTACAATACAATGTATGAGTACATCCAGATTAATAGAATAAAACTGTAAAAAGAGACCTTAGGCAATCTGGGAGAGTTTTGTGAGATACTAGTCAGGTAGCAGACTGTTTGTTTTTAACCTTGGGAGAATTTGATATCGGTGAATGGAGAAAATAATAAAGATTAAATACAGTTGCAATAATTATTGATAGAGAAGGTTGAGACTCATGATTACAATGGAGTTTATTAATTTTCTGCTTTATTGGTGGTGTTTTTTTACTACCTTAAAAACATTAACAAGTTAGGAATTTTACAGAAGGTATGGAAAGAGAGAATTTGTGTTTGAGTGGCAAGCTCTGAGAAAACTGATTGATTTTGGTCTCTGTTGTCAGTCTTGTTTTCTAATAAGTTTTTTCAATAATGCCAAGTGTGGGAAATTGAATTTAGTTCTAACATACAAGTCAAGTAAATAATAGTTTGTCTTTATTGCCAATATATTAGCTTGTCTTCATTTAAAATATACCTGTATCATTATAGGAATGCAATTTAAAGTTTAATGATTTTTAAAAATTGGTATCATCATTGCTCTGCTTCTCAGGTTAGTGTACAGCATTGTTGACAGTGATTTGACTTGCACAAACATTAAATACATCACATGCAATAATGGATCCATTTTATGAAAGCCAAAGCTGGTTGACTCTAATCTTTGTTTTTCAGTATATGTCTATAATATGTGTGTGTGTATGTATGTATATATATATATATATATATATATATATATATATATACACACATGGTGTATTATATGTTAATTTGATACATTTATATATTGTAATGTTGACATGGTGATAATTAGTTTCGCTATCTTATGATGTAATTATCATTTCTTTTTAGTGGTTGGAATAATTAAGTACAAGTCTTTCAGCAAGTTTGATTATAACACACTGTTGTTGGCTATATTTACTATACTGTACATTAAATCTCTAGGACTTATTTACTACTCGTTACACAGTTTTACCCTTAAACAACCTCTATCCTATCCCTCTACACTCACCATCCCTAGTAACTTCATTTTATTCTATGTTTTTATGAGTTTGGCTTTTTTATATTCCATGTATAAGTAATACAATACCGCATTTGTCTTTCTCTGACTTCTCTTAGCATAATGTCCTCAAGGTACATGCATGTTTCCACGAATGGTAGGATGTCTTTCTCATGGCTGAGTAATATTCCACTGTGTAGATATACCATATCTTTATCCATTCATCTGTTGATAGGCACGTATATTGTTTCTGTATCTTGACTGTTACAAATAATGCTGGAATAAACATGGGATTGCATGTACCTCTTCCATATCCTATTCTCATTTTCTTTGGATATACACTCAGAAGTGGAATTGCTGGATCATATCTTAGTTCTATTATAAATTTTTTGAGGAACCTTTATATTTTTTTCTATAGTGACTGAACCACTTTACATTCCCGCCAACAGTGTACAGGAGATCCCTTTTCTCCATGTTCTCAACACTTTTGATCTGTGCGTGATGACAGCCATTCTGACAGGTGTTAAGTAGTATCTCATTGTGGTTTTGATTTGCATTTCCCTGATTAGTGACGTTGAGCATTTTTTTGTATACCTGTTAGATGTTTTCTCTGGAAAAAGTCTATTTAGTTCCTCTGCTTATTGTTTAATTTAACTGCTTTTGTTGTTGCTGTTATTGAGTTGTATACATTCTTTACATATTTCGGATATTAAACCCTTATCTATTGTTTGGTTTGCAAAAATTTCTCCCATTATGTAGGTTGCCTTTTCATTTTCTTAGTTGCTTTTTTTTTTTCTGTGCAGAAGCTTTAATTTTGATAGAGTACCATTTTTTTTTTATTTTGAGTTTTGCTTTTATTGTTTGTCCTTATAGTGTCATGTCCAAAAAGTCATTGCCAAGGCCAATGTCAAGGAGCTTCTTCCTTACATTTTCTTCTAGTTTTGTGGTATCAAGTCTTAGGTTTAAGTCTCTGATCCATTTTGAGTGAATTTTGTGAGTGGTGAAAGATAGGGGTCCAGTTTCATTTTTCTACATGCGTTTATCCCATCTTCCCAGCACTACTTACTGAAGATACTATCATTTTCCATCAGGTGTTCCTAGCTCCCTATATTAGTCAATATTAGTTGAATATTATTTGTCGAATATTAGTTGACCAAATATGAGGGTTCAATTCTGAGATTGCTAATCTGTTCTATTGGTCTATGTGTCTACTTGTATGATAGTACTATACTGTTTTAATTACTATAACTTTGAGAATAGTTTGAAATCAGGAAGTGTGATACCTTTAGCTTTGTTCTTTCTTAGGGTTGTTTTGGCTATACAGGGTCCTTTGTAGTTCCATACAAATTTTAGGATTCTTTTTCTACTTCTGAAGAATGCCATTGGAATTTTGATAGTGATTATATTGAATCTCTAAATGGCTTTGAGTAATATGGACATTTTAATAATATTAATCATTTCAATCCATGAATAGGGATGTCTTTCCATTTGTTTCTGTCTTCAATTTCTTTCAACAGAGTCTTGTAGTTTTCATTGTACAGAGTTTTCACTTCCTTGGTTAAATTTATCCCTAGGTGTTTTTATTGATTTTGATGCTGTTGTGAATGGTATAGTTTTCTTTATTTCTTTTTAGATGTTCCATTATTAGTGTATAAAGCACAACTGATTTTTATACATTGATTTTATATTCTGAAATTTACTGAAATCTTTGATTAGTTCCAACAGTTTTTTGTTTGACGTTTTGGGAGCTTTCTATATATAACATCATATCTGCAAATAGTGACAATTTTACTTCTTTCCTATTTGGATGTCTTTTATTTCTTTGTCTTGTCTAATAGTTCTAGCTAAGGCTTTCCATCTTAAATAAGAGTGGTGGAGTAAGTAAGCAACCTTGTCTTGCTCCTGATCTTAGAGTAAAAGTCTTCATTTTTAATGTTGAATATAATGTCAGCTGTGGGTTTGTCATAGAAGGCCTTTATTATGTTGAAGTTTGTTCCTCCTATACCCAATGTATTGAGGGTTTTTAATCATAAAAGGATGTTGTATTTTGTCAAATGCTTTTTCTCCATTTATTGTGATGATCGTGTGATTTTTATTTTTCATTCTATGTGCATTAACATGATATATTACATGTTTTGATTTGTGTTTGTTGAACTATCCTTATATCCCAGGGATGAGTCCTACTCGCCATGGTGTATAATCCTTTTAATGTGTCCAATTCAGTTTGCTAATATTGTGTTGAGAATATTTGCGTCTATATTTACAAGTAATATTGACCTATAGTTTTCTTTTCCTGTAGTGTTCACATCTGGCTTTGGTATCAGGGTAATGCTGGCATTGTAAAATGAGTTTGGAAGTGTTCCATTATCTTCAGTTTTTTTTAGAAGAGTTTGAGAAGGATTGGGTCTCCACCTCCTCTGCTGGAAAGGTAGTAACTGCCACCACCAAAAGCCTAGCCCCCTTGCCTTGTCACACTGGGAAGGTGGGGGCACCTTGGCAACTTCTTCCCTCTCCTCTGCCTCTAAACTCCTCTGTATCTCACTCCAGTAGAATTCTGGAATCACCCTTTAGGCAGGCTGGATTTTCAAAAATTCTCTTGCCCATTGGTATCTGACCAGTTTTGTACTCTCTAGGTTCTTTCTTTCATGATTGCAATGAGTGTAGATGGGCCAATTTGCTGACTCTCATGCATTTGCAGCCTCCACAGAGATCCCTTTGTTTATTTTCAGATGCACAGATGGGCTAGAAACCTCCAGGTTTCTGAGTGTAATGTGTAGAGGCACTTTTGCTTGGTAATGAATGTTGAATTAGTTGTTATAAAAAGTGAAGAGAAGGTAGGGATGTCTTATGTCACCATGATGTTGATATCTCTTCCATATGGTTTATTTATTCATTCATTTGATAAAAATCTATATGTTGAACACCTGCTCTCTAAATAAAACACCTCATCCTCTTCTATTATTTGGATATACAGTTATGGAGAAATCAGAGAGTTGTGCATTTTATCGATTAGTGAGGGACAGTAACAAAACAAAAGGACTTTCACATCTTGATTAGCATGTAAGATGCTGAATAGACAATATTTAGATAGACTTCATGGAAGTCCTCACTGAAGTGACATACATTTGAGATCTGATGAATGAGAAGAAGGCAGGCACCCATGTGAAAAATACATGCAAAATAATTTTAGTTAGTGAGACAAACATGTCCAGAGGATGTAAGGCAGTAAAGAAGTTCTGGCAAAAACAAAGGAAGCCCTGTGGTTTGAATGTAGAGAGTGAGGATAAAGTGTGAAATGCAATTGAAGAAGGAGACAGAGTCTTGTGGGACAAAGCAAAGGAGTCTGGATCTACTTTAAGTGCAATCATTGGATAGGATGTATGTGTTTAAACAGCTTTTTGGGTAGAATAGCTGTGTATAATGAATGCAGATCCATGGACAAGTCAGCAGTACAATACAATACATTGTCAGACAGACTACAGAATACCTGTTTCTAGTTTGCCCTTGATATACAGTTTAGGATTGGAGGAAATGAAATTGCATTGCTACAAGTAGACAAGCAATATTTTTGAAAGAATAG